ATTTGTTACAATTTCAACATAATTAAGCTTGGTGTATTACACACCAAGTGTTTGATATTTTGACTGCACACTAAGTGTTCGATAAAATTCCTTAGTCATGTTTTATTTTACTTCTCAAAATGAAATTCCACGACAATTGGTAACCGTCGCAATATTCAGGTTATGACAGTTCCCTAACTGTTGTGAAAGAGAACGGCGGTTGGTGTGACGGTTTTGACAACTGTTGCAATATAGCCTTGCGACGCATGTTTCTGGGACGGAGAAACAACTATCATAACATGAAAATTGCGGCGTCTCTAACCGTTGTAACTTGCCAAAATAAACCATCGTAATTTTCCATTTTTCTTTTGGTTTTTGTTGCTACGAGTTATCTTCCATATTAGATACTTTTATAAGATCACTATTCTTCAATCTAGTATTTCTTCTTAAATGTCTTCAAAGACCATTAAAGGAGAGATCCATGATCTAGATATTCTAAAAGAATATACAGCTGACTTCAATGAATTGACAATGAATAATCTTTCACAAATTGTTTCAGATATTCATTTTCGGAAATGGAATGAGTATTTTGCAATGCTTTATGGACCATCTATCCAGATTTTGTGAATGATTTCTGGGCAAACACTCATGCTCATCATAATGAGATAGATGATTTTTAGATTCTGTCTGTTGTCTATAGTTTCCCTGTGGTAATCAACTTTAAAATCATCTCTCAAGCTACAAACTGTGAGGAAAATGAAGTTAGACATAACAACATAACTGCAAATAACATGCATATCATCTATGAAATTAAAGGCTCTACTGAAAGTCCTTCTACTCTTACTCCTATGGAAAATGTTTGGTACCAAATTATGGGAACCAATCTAAGGTCTAGAGAAAATGGGACATGATGGCTTTCTTCTGATGACAAACACTTCATTCTATTAATAGTCTCCAGAACTAAGATCAACCTGCCTCTGTCTATGTTCAATTATCTGAAAGAAGAGATACTTGAATCTCGTGAGGAATTATTTTTTTCTCATTTCTTTTGGTAGGGTTCTTTCTATGACTCTTGTTCAACAGGGTGTTGTTACTCATGTACAACAAATTGGGTTGACTAATAAACTTGTTCTTGACTAGTGTCCAACTATGAATTGTTCTGAAACAATTATTAATCGTTGAAGTTCCTTCTTTTCATGCCTTTTTTTAATGATGTCAAAGGGGGAGAATGGTTAAGTATTCTTCTAGATTAATTTTGGATCCGAATGAGGTTGGTGATCCTATTTACAGGGAGATTACAAACCTCACCCTTGAAGTAGATTCATTTCTCTATATAGGGGGAGCTTACAAACCTCACCTCTTAGACTTTACAGATAGGACTCAGGGGGAGCTTACAAACCTCACCTCTAAGACTGTTTGAGACAGGGGGAGCTTACAAACCTCAGACCCTGAAAGTTGTTGAGTAATTAATCTACTACTGACTATTTTTAAAATGCTTAAAGTTTCCATAATAAAAAATGGGGAGATTGTTGAGACAACTTTCGTTCATACCTTGTTCTTTGAATATTTCCTTAACTGAAAGTTCCAACGCCTGTTTTATTGAAAAAGAAGATGTACTAGAAGATTTGATCTGATTATACCCTTTGTGGATGCTTCAACGACTATATTTCTTCAGCTATATAAAGAGTAGAAGATTTGAAGATCAACTCAAGAAATAACGCTACAACTACAACTGAGAAATACAAACACTGTATATTAAAAGCAAAATCTGTTAAGAGTTATTATTCTTGTATAGCTTAAGAATCCTTTATAAAAGTGTGTTGTTGTAAGTTATTATTTGAACACCTCTGATTGTTAATCAAGTGTTGTTGTAAGTTATTACTTCTCTAAACAGTCTAGTTTAGATAAAAGTCTCTTGTTGTAGTCTTGAGAAAGAAAGTCTTGGATCGAGGATGTGAGAAGGAAAGTCTTAGACAATGTGTTTGAGCAGGAAAGTCTTGGATCGAGGATCTAAGCGGGAAAGTCTTAGACAATGTGTTTGAGCAGGGAAGTCTTGGATTGAGAATATGAGCAGGAAAGTCTTAGGCAGTGTGTCTAAGCAGGAAAACCTTGAACTATGTGGTTTGAGCAAAGAAAGTCTTAGGATATGAGGATCTAAGCAGGAAGTCTTGATCAGGTGCTGATTAAGCAGGAAAGTCTTAGACTGGAGGTTTGAGTAAAAAAAAGTCTTATACAGGTGTGTATAAGTAAGTGTAATCAGGTTGATTATAATGGAAAATCTCTTGCGAGGCAAGGGGACTGGAGTACTCTCAATTAGGAGAGGAACCAAGATAACTGTTGTGTGTTCTTTGATGTTTTTACTTTACTTCTGTTATATTTTCTGTTGCATTATTTATCAGATTCTGAACTCAACTTTAGAATATGAACTCTGGTTCAAAATTAAAACTATTCTTTCAAACACAACTCAACCCCCTTATTATGCATTTTTCTCGCCTTCAAAAACATTTGAAAGCATAGAAGCAAATATAACCAAAAATATTTTGAGAAAGAAGGAACTTGAAAAAAATACTTTGCACACTTTCAAAACATCAAGTTCATTCTCTCTTACAACATTCCAACAACAAATACTTTGCACACATTAATATATGTTCTTATCATTTACATGTCTTTAGTGGAAATTCTCAATGCATTTTGACAAACTTCACATTAAGCTGGAAAACACAATATGCATGTATGACTGTAGCATGTTTAATGCTAAACTCATCAAGAATATTATTTTGGAAAAAATATGATGCGCGAAGCGAGATCAAAACCTCGCCTAGCTAGAGAGCATGGAACCAGAAAAATCAACATGTAATAAAGGAAAAGTGTTGTTAAGTTCATTGAACTATCTAACGCAAATTGTCAAAATATATGTTGTGCAGTGATTTTTTCAGATGGATCTAAAGAAATTAATCATTGGGAGAAAAAGGTAGTCGTGCATTGAACCGTCGAAAGTATGGTATGATCGTAATAGATTCAAGAGTCATAACTATAAGGAAAATATACATAGTCAAGATTTATTGTGAAATAGGATAATAGTAAATCATTAAGAATATTATATGAATAGATTGGTGATCACATCTCACAAATCATAGATAAAGAGTTATCATGTCTTCATAAAAGTACACATATTATGAGTAATATTTATATCAGATGGACCCAACATGAGAATACTACAAAAAATATCATGCAAATGTCATAAATTAATCTCCAGGTGGTAATGGTGTATAACACCATTCATCCTGAAACTACTACGGATCCTAGATGTGGAGTCGAGTACTTTATTATCTTTCAAATGTTTTTCGTAACACGGTGACTATAAAGATGGTTGACGGATACCTCTATAAAACATGTTAAGGGACATGATTAACTTAGATAGAAGTTTCATATCACCTGTAACAAAATAAAGTCCAAAGGGCCCAATATCTAACTAGATAAAGGTGACATATTTTATGTCTTGTGTTCAATATAGACATGATGGTTAAAGGAAAATTATACCACACACACAAATATCTTGCCAAGACACTTTCCTACAACCAAGGCTTGCTAGGTCATGTCAATGGACGCGCTAAGCGAACACATAAGAGAAATATTTAAGGCTAAGTTATTTCACGGTGAAAAAAGAGTCTGTGCGTTGGTCGAAGATGGGCGATGCACCTAGCGACGTCTAGGAAAAGTTTCAAGACAACTGAAATTGCTTAACAAAGAAGAAAGTAGGTGTGTTAGGCGAAAATAGTGTTTTGGAAAGTGACTTGATTGAATGTATTTTTAAAAATATCCTATATGCCCTCAATTTGTTAGGTGAGAGGTTTCTCGTTGAACGAGTTGAGTGCGAAGGCTTTGACTTGTTTTCATACTCTTTTGCTGGCCAGCAGTTACTCGTTAAGAGAATTTTAGACATAAACACTTTTTTTTATCAACATTAAGACATTAACACTTTTTTTATTAACATTAGTACATGTGTTTTTTACATCGATAACTTCACGACTCTTAAATAAAAACTTCAAGGTGGATTATAGAACATACATGGATCAAGCATGTTACTTAATTATGACTCTTTTGTATGTGCAAGCATACTCAATCAAACTAGTTTCAAGTAATAAAAAATTTTGATGTCACAAGGATTGTAATAAGCACTTTGAAATTTCATAGAAAATTTGTAAACTAAACATAAGCAGTGGTAACAAAATAATAGTGTGTTTTATGTGATTAAAAATAAGAAATTCAGAGAAATATGACAAACCATTCACACACAAAAAAAATTATGTTAGACAATGATTCATTTAATAAATTAATCAAATGTTTGCATATGACTTTAGTGTCATGACAATTAAGGTCCAAAACAGAACCTTATGCTGTACATCTACTATGTGAAAATATATTGTATAAGTAACTATGAAACTTATATTTAAGCCACAAAATAGCACGAGTACACTTCATGTAAAACTTGTTTCGTTTACCCTAATGATTTTAATCATTTATATCTAAAGTGATTAAATAAATAATACATGTCTTCCGGCTACTTTACAATATTAATTCATGAAATCCATTTGTTAAACACTACCGCAATATAATAAATTGGTATCTACTACTTAGGTGAACAAACTCATAAACAAATATATAACAAGATATCACAAGATCTAAAAGTATTACAACCACAATAATATTATAGGTTAGACCGTCTTTAAGAGCGCGTAAGAAAAATAATCATAAAAAATTTAAAATCTAATATAATTAAACTGTGATTAAATAAAATCTCAAATTTTTTATCACGATTAAAACACCGTAAAATATGATTCATGTTTTTTTTTCCGCTGTTAAACTTGTGACCAACCTATATAAAAACTCCATAAATTTAAAATGGCCCTTGTTTAGGTTAAATCTTATTAGAAATCTAATATTACAATTAAAAGACTTATTACCAAGACATTCCCCCAATGTATCTTATTTCGTGCCAAAATGGGAATCTAAAATGTAGTTTAGAGTTTCATTTCTTTCTTAAAAAGAAAGTCTCTAACACATAGGGGTAAATGGTACATGATAGCCATGATGGTAGTATATTTACCATAACCGAACCATGCAGGTGGTTTCTTCCTAAGGATAGCAGCTACAGTATGTTTAGCATACTCATCAGTAGGGGTGGCTGATTGAGACTTCTGAGCAAGTACAAATGCGTCTCGGAATCCTGTTTCGAATGGCTTGAACAGTTTCCATTCTGGCATGCTGTCGTAGATGGATAGGCTGGATTTTAACATATTTGATTTCACAAGTCCAGGGACAACATTAACAACATCAATTCCAAAATGTCCAAGTTCCAATCTGCATGCATGTTGAATAACAACAACTATAAGATATAGTATATAGTATGAGTAAATGCTCAAACAAGTTTGAAAAAGGGAAAATGAAAACCTTAATGTATCTGTCAAAGCATGAAGTGCAGCTTTAGAAGCAGCATAGGCACCCGACCAAGGTCTGGCAGCTAATCCCACAATACTGCCAACATTCACAATCTTTCCCTGTTTCTTAGCTGCCATGTGAGGAACCACCGCCTGGATCATTCTCAAAGAACCTGCGCATATAAACAAAACTAAAATCAAGAATCTTGTTAGTAAAATATTCACATTTTCTTTATTATAAAAAATTACCAACCAAAGACATTGGTTTCGAAGGTGTTTTTGATTGCAGATAGTGGAATATCGGCTATTGGACCGGCACACGGAACACCGGCGTTATTGACTAGAATATCAATGCGACTGTATTTATTCATAACAGTATCGACAACTCGGTTCACACTCTCATCGGACTGAATATCGAGCTCTTGCAGAAAGAATTTGGGGTCGTGCTCCAAGTCCACCATGGTGGAACGTGACCTACTGGTGGCCACCACGATACAGTTGTTGGCGGCGAAGCAGCGTGCAAGGGCATGACCTATTCCTCCACCGGAACAACCCGTGATGAGGACCACCAGTTTTGAATCATCGGCATTGATCTCCATTACGTACGTGTCTGTAATAATAGTTTTACTCAGCAATACATGTCGAATTATTTCTCATCTTTAAAATGAATTTCATATTTATATTAAGAATTACTTTAATGTCTATTCTAAAATTTTATTATTTTAAATATATTGAATAAACAATGTATTTAAACTATATAAATTATTTAACGTTTTAAAAAAAATTACTTTTTAATCATGGAGACTTTTAAAGAAAATATAATAAATTTGTTAAAATATGTAACAACTTTAATTAATTTCTTTTATTTATTATTGAATTATTTTTAGCCATTATAAAATTTCTACGATTAAAAATTATAATCTTTTTTACCATTATAAAATGAGTCAAATTAAGAAATACAATATATTTTTTTTCTATTATATAATTTTCATTGACTAAGAAGAAATATAATAGTTTTTACTTTTGATAATAAAATAAATATTGGCTATAAAAAATAACAAAAAATAAATGTTAACTCCATATTCTTTTAAGTGGCATTTCTCTACACTTCTAAAGATATGTTGATCTTTTATAAATTAAAATGTTTTTGTTCACTCTTTTTTGCTTGAATAATGTATTCATAACTAATAACTAAGATCTTTATGATCACTAACAATACTCATTTGTACTTCAGTTTGAGCCTCGTTGCCAAGAGATCGTTATTGACAGAGGTTTAAACTCTTATTCTTTGGACTAAAGACCTTATTAATTTGATCTTTTCTTTTGTTCTTCTATTTTGTTTTTGCATTCAATAGGCTAAATAGGCATAAGTTAAAGTTATGGGAGAGTGGAAAGAGGTTAGGAAGAAAAATCAACAACAGTCATTGATGGTTAGAAGTTCAATCTAGAAGGCTGTAGAAGGTAAGGGAGGTAAAAATAAGGAACAGCTAACTAGCTTCTTCTTCACTGAGTTTTCAGATTCATTCAAATCACTATGTTTAAAGTCTTCAAAGAACATGGACTGGTAAAGAAAGTTTTCATACTAGCAAGAAGAGGCAGACGGGGAAAACAGTTTGCATATTTGTACGGTTCAGACAAGTTGATAATGCAAGATTATTGAGAGTAAAATTGGATAGTATTATTATTCTTGGGAAGATCTCTTCCAACCTACCAAAGTTTCAAAGAGAAAACAAGATCTCAATGCATATTGACAAAGTGGACATGAGTCGGGGTAGATCTAACCTACAACAAGGTGAGAGGAGGTGATAACCTGGGCACACTAGAGTTTCTTATGCTCAGGTGCTACTAGAAATGTTCAGTTTTCCTGCGGATTATGATTAAATTTTCGCAGGAAACACATTACCTGCGATTTTTCCTGCGAGTTCTTGTTTCCAGCTAAAACCTCCGTGGATAATTCATTTAGCAGGTAAAGTCGCAGGAAAAGGTCGCAGGAAAAAGTCGCAGTAATAAGTCGCAGGAACAGGTGGCAGGTATAACAGCTAAACTCGCAGGTAATGTCGCAACAAATTGAAAATCCGCAGGTAAGTTCGCTGGTAAGTTCGCTCATGTTTTTAGTTTTTGTTTTTACTTGTGTTTAATTCATATTTAAAATAATATAATTAATGTTAAATATCAAAGTAACAATAATATAAAAGTAAAAATCTAATTTGAATAAGTCAATGCAACACTAATTACATTCAAATTTTTAAAGTCAATAACAAGTACTTCTAGAGTTATATTACTAAAAATGTCGGTAATCAAGTTACTAATTATCACTTGTCCAATCAAATTAATAAGAAAAAATAATGCAATTTCAAACTAATTAACAAGAAAAAGTAATCCAAATCAAAATTCACTACTAATGTGTTCACTAATGTCTTCATCTGATTCATCAACAGCATCTTCACTTTGATTATCAATTTCATTATTGGCTTGAGGTGGATGAGAAGAAGATGCAGCAAATCCTAAATGATTCATTAACAATGAAAGGTTATTGTTCGTTTTAATCATCTCTTTTTCTTGTTGTTGCAATTGTTGCTTCATCTCCAACTTCTCTTGTTCTTATCTTTGCAATGATGCATTGAGAGCATGGACTTGACTTCTCAAATCATCAACCTCTTGAGAGTTAGTCGAAAGACTTGGTTGAGTTGATGATGGAACAAGAGTCTTGGCAATGGTTCCAAGACCAAATACTCTCCCTTTCTTCTTTCCAAATGACTCCACCCATATATCCAAATCAGACGGCATTTCAACCGGTAGATTGACTATCAGCTTCATCCTCTCCTGGAACAGTTGAATTTTGAGAAGAAATCATCAAATTTTTCCTTTCAAATTCATCCTGAAAGAAGATTTAAAAAAACATAATAAGTAATTAATATTTTACCAGGCAATTCCAAACTAGTGCTAATCGTCATAATAAAAATTCAACTAAATTAACTAGCAATTCATTCACATAACATTAACAGGAGAAACTCATAATTGCTCGTTGCTAACATTAACTCTAACCAATTTCCCAACATATTTTTATTTGATTTGATTGTAAATCGCAAAACACTGAGAAAAAGAATGAAGGTATGGTTTACACTTTCTAAAATTCATTCTTTAAGAAATTGATTTGGAGTACTTACATATGCAGATTCAGCGTGAACACCCACCCAACTTTGATCCTTTTTTCGATGAGTGCGAAAATAAAATTCAGTCAATGATGGATCGGCACCCTTTTCCTTTTTCTATCAATTACAAAATAATAATGTCATTTATTATAAATACTAATTTATGAAATATAAAGAAAAATTATAATACCATTCTTTTCCAATGCAAACGATGAGGAATAGATCCTCCAGTGTGAAGAGATGCACCATCCATAGAACAACAATTTCTTTTATTTGTTGCAGATACTTTTTTGAACTTGGAGGAATTTCAATGTACCGTTAGTTTCTTCCACACATCCTCTCCCATCTATTTCGGCCTATACTCTAAATCTCTCCGAACATCTTGCATTAATTGAGACATCTTAGCTGCACTTCTTTTTTCAAAGTTGCGTCGCACTGTAACCTTGTGCTCGGGTGGCCATGTAAACTTTTGTTGTATCAAAAAAACATGAATCAATTACTTAATATTTCAATATGCTTCTAACATGAAGCCCCATCTTTAGATTTAATTACCTTAAATAGATCAAAGAAAGAATCTCGTTGCTCTTTTGATAATTTCTTCCATGACGGTTTTCCCTCATTCAAATGAGTACGTGTGATGTGAGCAATTTCTGAAACTACCAATTTATGTTGATCAAATCTGAAAAAGAGACATTTAAAAAAAATATTACTTAAATGGAGAAAGTAATGTTACATATAAAATATAGTATCTTTTATTAGCTATTATATACGAGTAAGAGACTCACCTATCACCTTCGGGAACTATTGGGATTCTAGTTCCAACGGTGTCTCCACTAGCATGGCTAGATGAAGATGGGGCTTCAACGACCATAAATTGAGAAGGGATGGGTCGAGATCGATGTTGTGATTGAGGTTGATTGGGTTGAGAAGGAATGGGTCGAGATTGAGGTTGATTTTGAGATTGAGGTTGATTAGGTTGAGGTTGATTGTGTTGGGGTTGAGTTTGTAAAGGGTGAGATTGGGTGGATTGAGGACGAGGTTGATTAGGTTGAAGTTGAGGTTTATTGTGTTTGGGTTGAGTTTGTAAAGGGTGAGATTGGGTGGATTGAGGACGAGGTTGATTTGGTTGAGGTTGAGGTTGATTGTGTTGGGGTTGAGTTTGTAAAGGGTGAGATTGGGTGGATTGAGGACGAGGTTGATTTTGAGGTTGAGGTTGATTATGTTGAGGTTGAGAATAATGCGCATGGGATATAGATCTAGACGGTGGTAGGGTGAGTTGAGGTTGAATTGGATGTGGAATAGGTTGTGGTTGTGGTCGGAGTTGAGTGAGTTGAGGCCTACTTGAATGTGGAATAGGTTGGGGTTGAGGTTAAGTATGATATTGAGTGAGTTAAGGTTGAGTGAGATGAGGAATATGTTGGATTTGAGGTTGAATAAGATGAGGAATAGGTTGGGGTTTAGATTGAGTGAGTTGAGGTTGAGTAAGTTGGGGTTGAATAAGATGAGGAAGAGGTTGGGGTTGGATGACTTCATGTTGAGTAGATATATAACCTTTTCCATAATTCTTCTTCTTGGACTTTTTAAGTGACTTCATCTTGCAACAATTTAAAGAAATACAAAACCTAAAAAATAAGAGTGAAAAATCAAAATAATATTAGTAACAAAATAATATTGGTAATTGCTTTATGAATGGTAAATAGATTAATGAGTTATGTGTTGCATGCCTAAGAAAGACAAGGTTCTTTATATATATTATATCTGCTCAGAATAATAAAAAGAGTATGAATTATGTATCATACTTTAGTTATGGTCCTCTCTTCTTCTTCTTCTGATATGTCTATGCAGCTACTTTTGTCAGAGTGTTATGTTGGTGTTCAATAATGACAGCTTCCTCCATTCTTCTACTGCAAAATGCAAGGCAAAAGTAGAACAATTAAATGTATTTACAGCTAAGCTGATATAAAGTAAAAACTCTTCAAGACAAGTACCAATTTGAATATATTGATTTGTTACTGTTAAAGTGACCAGGCTGGAAAAAACAAAAACAAAAATTAGATTAATAAATATACCAAGATTGGAAATCAGAACCAAATTTCAACAATAACAACTTCCATCAATGCAAAATATAAGGCAATGTTCAACCCCACTTCTCTAATAACCAAATATATCCCCTTAAGAACATAAACAAACTCTTAATAATAAAAACTCACAATCCACCCTGCCTACATATTACCAGATAACAATAACAAATCAAGATATTCAAATTAATACTTGTCTTGAAGAGTTTTTTTCCCCTATCAAAGAAAAATGCAACAAGATTCACCCTTTTAGTTCAATCATTTCAGCAAACAATTGAACCACTATACCTTTATAGTCCCACCATACAACAGAACAAGAAGACTAACTTGGATTTTCAATGTAAGTGACATAACAGATACGTAATCATCAGCAACTTTAATATCTCGGTATTTCCCCGAAGAAATGTCGAGCTAAGAAAATCAAAAGTTCCTTGTAGCAACCATTATGTCTACTACTATAACTTCTACAATACTCAGCAACATTTTATATTATTGAGTCACTTGCTATATCATCCATGAAACAAGTATTTCTATGAGAAGATAACCAAGTTGATACCATCTTATTATTCTCATTATTTTCTGCTATGGCAAGAATTATGAACTTCAAGAAAATGGGACTATAGGTGAATGCATCAAGAATATCAAGAGGACAGTAGTTGAATACTAGCTTTAAGCATGCTCTGAAGCTGCTTTAAACATGATGAAAGCAGCCATGAGTCATGATAATATGAAATATATTTTAAAAATTTGTTGTATTTTGATGTTGACTTATGTGAGACTCTTCTTAATGATTGATTTTTCCCCTGTCAAATGCAGTCCAGTTTTAGGCCTCTTAGAATATTCTCAACTATATTCTTGTTCTCATGCAGCTGAGATAGCATGGAATAAAATGAGTGGATTGGTGATCAGTCAAAAAGACTACAACGACCATCTAAATATTCAACTATATGGTACATGCTTAGTATTGATTTTCATTTATTCTCTTAATACGACCATTGAAAATAGGGGTTCTTCATTCATTTATTCTCTTAATACGGCCAATAAAATCTTCCTTGTAGATTACATCCCTAAGCTACAGAATGACAAAGTTTCATATGATTCATGACAATTAATATTTTGTTTTCTTCCTTGTATTATCCATCGTAATTTTGACATATAATGCAGATATGAACTATATATACAAGAAGGCGAAGGATCACCATAATAAGTCTAACATATTCTAGGTGATTGTTGTCTACAAGTCAAGTAAATGTTTAAAAATTTTCATCATCGTCATTGGAATCCTCTTCATCTTCATTTTCTTGTATTGTTGACAAACTAACCTCTTCACCATCAACTTCATCATCTTGTAGGAGATTAATTGGGTCATATTCAATTGTTGCATTAACTTGTGACTCTTGAACTTGAAAAGCAACCTCTAATGTGTTCCTATCATCAACAACCCCTCTTGGCTTTGTCTTTATAGCTACCAACCAATCAACCTTATCTCTTGGGCGCCCAGGATAAGGTGAATAATAAACTTGAGTTACAGCTTTTAGAAAAATAAAAGGATCAAATTTACTATATTTTCTCCCCTTACGAACTTCTACAATCTTGTACTGACGATGTATTCGCATCCCATGTCTTGAAGGGTCAAACCAATCACAGTAAAATAAAACCAACTTTTTTGTTATTTGACTTGGCCATTGAAATTCTAGAATTTCTGTAAGAATGCCATAATAGTCATTTGAAGTTTCATCTTGTCCTATTCCACTAACACACACCCCACTGTTATAAGTTTTTTTCCTTCACCCCAAGAAGTTGTGTGAAATTTGTATCCATTTGCAAAATAAATAGGCCAAGATTTCGCTAGTCTCAAAGGCCCCCTTGCCAAATCATACAAGTCAGAATTTTGTCTCTTATGTTTGCAATTCATCGTCACCTAGCCAAATAAATTAATTCATACATCTTAGTTTAAAAGCAAATTCTACATCTTCATTCTAGCCCAAATATCCTAGAATGGAAATTTTATAAATATGCTTACGTATTTTTGAAACCAGCGCGGAAATTCAACTTCTAGTTGTTTATCAATGATATCGTCATTGACATCCCCATACATACTTTTCAAACTTTGGACATACATGCTACATAAGATATTATTAAAAATTAATGTCATTATTAGTTTAATAAAATATAGATATATTTATTGCTCAATACTTACTCAATAAATGGCTTAACCTCTTTGCAATTTAAGAGAACGTGTAGTTGTGCAGCTTCCATTTCTCTATCCTCGAGCCACCTTTCACAATATTTTCCCGTTGTTTGGCCATTCAAATGTTCAAACATAGACAAAGTTAGTTGCATATGGTCTTGATGAATCCCCTTGTTTATGCCAATAACACTCGAGTATTGAGCAGGAGGCAAAAAATAATGGGAACTGAAATAGGATGTCTCTTGCACCAAATATGCTTCACAGATACACCCTTCCACATTTCTTTTATTTTTTACTGTTTTTTTTATTTATTTAAAAATCTTTCAAACGGATACATCCAACGATATTGAACTGGTCCACCCATCTTAGCTTCATCAGCTAAATGAATTGGCAAGTGCTCCATAGAGTCAAACAATGCGGGTGGAAATATACGCTCCATCTTACATAATATCAAAGGAATGTTTTTTCCATTTTTAATAAATGATCTTCTCGCAACACTGTTGAACACAAGTCTCTGAAAAATTGACTAAGCTCGGTTAAGGTCTTCCATATTGGTTCGGGAAGAGCACTAAAAGCTATTGGAAGTAGACATTCTATAAAAATATGGCAATCATGGCTTTTCATACCAAAGAGTTTCTTTTGCTTTAAATCTACACATCTACCCAAATTAGAAGCATAACCATCAGGCATCTTCAATCCTTTCACCCATTCGCACACATCAATTTTTTGTTCATTCGATAAACAATATTTGGCTTTGGGTTTCATATAGTTCCCATTAGAATTTTTTTTCAACAACAACTCTCTTCTATGACAATACTTTTCCAAGTCTAATCTTGCGTTTTCGTTGTCCTTAGTTTTCTCTTTGTTGTCCATAACTGTATGAAAAACATTTTCAAAGACATTATTTTCTATATTCATAACATCAAGATTGTGCCTCAATAAGTTGTGTCTCCAATAAGGCAAGTCCCAAAATATGCTTCTTTTGGTCCAATTGTGTGAAATTCCACGACCAGGAACAATGCAATTCCGCATGTTAGTTACTTTAGGAAGCCCACAAACCTCTTTCCACACTTGTTCACCACTTAACCTTGGAGGAGGCTCCCTTGTCTCAATTCTATTTTTGTAAAACATAACCTTATTTCTTATAAAAGCGTGATCACGAGGTAAAAATAAAAATGAATAAATTAAACGTAATCGGTGTTAGTTTTGGACACCAACTTTGACACACATTTTTTCACAAATATGGATGCTACATAAATCATAACAAACTATCAAAAAGCTCAAATGCTCAAACATTAAGCTAAACTCAACCCAATATCCTCAAACATACACCGTTTAAAGTTAAGCACAATTTTTGATACCAAAAGTCATTGAAACATTTTATCAAACAATTAATAGCTACAAATAGTAATAACAACAACACGTTTCCAGTTTTCAGTAACAAAGCCAAAACCAACCAAGGAGCGTAATTGTATGCATAGAATATCAAGATGTTCAAACAAAAGCACACATAATTAAAAACAAAACTCATCGAAATGAAAAAACGGTGAAGAAAAGCAAAAAGTATTGTCGTTTATTACCTTTGATTGAGAATCTATTCAA